TATGTCATGATCTGAAATTCCCAGGATGACCTCTATCCTTCTGAAACAGTTTGGGTAGTTTGTGACAATGAGATCAAGTGTGTTTGGGCCCCGTGTGGGTTCTTTGACCAATGACCAGTTGTTGTAGACCACAGTCATCAAGTATATCTGTGAATGCATGATGGATATTTGCATATGGTGTGTTTTGTCTAAGTCTATTCTGTTTCCAATCTAAATCTGGGAGGTTGAAATCACCTGCTGCTATGATAAGCGCATTGTTTATTTTAGAGGCACGAGTTATGCTTTGTGTGAACTGATTCATAGCCTTTTCATTGGATGTTTTGGGGTTATAAAAACTAGCTAGGTATAGTGCTTTATGACCGTATATATCAAGTTTGCACCATGTAATTTCATAGTCTGTTATAAGTTCTGAAGTGACAATGAATGTGTCTCTTACTGCCACAAGTACACCTCCTCCGTTTAGATTTCGGTCTGTTCTAAATATGTTAAAACCAGCTGGAAATATTTGAGTGTCTTTGATTGAACTATCTATTCATGTTTCTGTACCGAAAATAATGTCGGGCTTGGTGCTGTCAATTAAATTTTCGATTTGATGATGCTTAGTTTTTATTGATTGAAAGTTCACATTCAGGATCCGGATGTTTTGTTTCGATTTCCTCTGCACTTGTTTTGATCTGATAGGTGTAGAAGTATGAATGGGTTGTGATGACTGGGCTGGTGGTGAGCACTAAAGACATTTGATGTGTCTATTGTTGTGATGGAAAAACAGTACGCCGAGTAGTTAGGACAGTTGCAAACTAGGCAATCCCAGGTTAGACCTGAGTGTTCTTTATGCTCTAAATACACACTAGATGACACTGACTGACAATTAACATGGTACCATTGATTACAATTGTCATATATAATACCCCTTTCAACCCATGTCACTGGCTTGTCGCATGTTCCACATAGGTAAATTGTTTCATTTGATGGTGCAGGATTAAGATTTACGTCATTTGCTATGATTAGGAGGAGTGTTGCTAGATAAAACAATATGCCTTTGTGACGTTTGCTCAGTGATATTACATTTCCAAACGCATAGCTCCTCTTGCCGTTAATAGCATAAATTACACTATCTTTCTGTAGATTTGAAGTTAAATGCCTTAATTTTTCATGAATCTCAGATGTGTCATTATTGCTTTCACAATGGAATATTTCGTTAAAACAGATTCTGATTGCACACATAAGTACTCTGAAGTTGACATCAAAAAGATGCTTGAGTTTCTGATTGACAATATCTATGTGGTTTTTGGAAACCAGGTATTCCAACAATCTATTGGAATTCCAATGGGTACAAATTGCGCTCCGTTATTAGCAGTCTTATTTTTATATTCATATGAAGCAGAGTTTATACAAAATCTTTTGCGTGAAAAGAAGAAAACACTTGCTGTGGCCTCCAACTCGACATTTAGATATATCGACGACGTATTGTCAATTAATAATGACAATTTCCATTCCTACGTCGACACGATATACCCTGGTGAGCTTGAGATAAAAGATACCACAGAGTCCGACACTTCTGCTTCATACTTGGATATTTTACTTGAAAAAGACACTAATGGCAATCTAACAACCAAGCTATATGATAAACGTGATGACTTTAACTTATCTATCGTCAACTTTCCTTACTTATGCAGCAATATACCTTCATCACCTGCATACGGAGTATTTATATCTCAGTTGATTCGATACGCAAGAGCATGCTCTACGTATGAACAATTTCTTAAACGAGGTAAATTATTGACAAGCAAGTTGATGAAACAAGAATATCAACAGTCTCGTTTAAAGTCATCATTTCGTAAATTCTATGGTCAGTACAATGATCTTGTCAGCAAATACAATTTATCATTGAATGAAATGCTGACTGACGTTTTTCATACCAATTGTTAGTCCATTATTTATACACTGAATTGACCACGGATTTTTTCCGTTATTTCCTGATTATGACAACGAGCACACGGCGGGTGTGACCGGTCAGTAGGGGATGCTCACTCCTCCATGGCACCTGATCCCACCTCTGATGTTTCGGAGGTCCGTGTTTGCTCTGCTCTTATTTTGTATATTTGTTTAATGGACGTTGAGATTGAATACTGTTCGTTATTTCCATATCCTTCCTATACCAATACAAATGACATCGCAATGTAAACAAGTGACGCCATTTCGAATTTCCTTTGATCGATGTTGTCAGATCATAAGGGAGTTTATATTACAAAATCGTACTTATCTGGTGATGGACTGATGTTGTTCCACACTTACCCTCTGTACAGTGTTAATTTTGAACGATAAATATGATAGATTGTAAATGGAAACTTATAAGATTCTAGAGAAGAAAAATTTTCCGCCATCCATCGATGCGCGCGCACACTCCCATGCATTGATACGCCCGAGGAAAAATCACTGTTTTCTTTTATTAGTTTGGCATTTGGTCATTGACCTTGTCACCCTTTTCAATGGGTTAAAAGTGGCTAACTCCATTCATAGCTAGGTTTAGATAGGGATGTTGCAGCAGGAATAGTAGACATATCAAATAAAGATACAGCAGACAGACTGGATGTTTCAGTTGTAGAAAATAAAGACAGTATGCAAGGGAGTAGATGTGTCTATACTTGAGGGGTGGTGTAAGTGGAAAGAAATTGGTTAAGAATGATGTGGCAAAGGTGAAGGTGTTCGCTGGATGTCTTCTCTTACACAGATGCACGAAGGTAAAGGCCAAAACAATACATATGGCACAGGAAACAGTACCCGATAAGATATAAAAAACAAAAAAATAAAGTTTGTTTAGTTGACAGGGTTCAAGATATGTCTCTGTAGTTATTGACAGAAATGCAAAAGATGCATTCTAAATCCACTTCCCTAATGCAAAATTCATATGGCTCAGTTTGAACATTTTTCTTATACTTAAACCAGCTAATGCTTTCGCTCTCTGACTAATATCAAAGTGATGCTTTTTTCATATGTTTTAACATATAGTCAACAATGGGTATAAAAATAATTAAAGACAATAAATTTTGATGATGTGTATCAACATTTGCATAAAAAAATTACTTATAACTAGTAAGGTAGTATTAGGGCTCTGAGGGGTACTTAAGCTATTCAACTCTGTGGTGGATGGGGTGGTGAGGGGGCCCGAAGGATCCTCAGTGGTTGTAGTTTAGGTGGTGGTGGCACCACTATTCTCTCTGGTTGATGTGCTGCCTGTTGTGCCAGCACCACCCTCCCTGGTTGCGGGAGTGACAGTCTCCTCCTCTTCTCTCTTTTTGGTGGTGGTGGTATCGGTTGAGGGGAGGGCGGTGCCCTGAAAATTCTGTATGGTTGTAATATCCGTTTCTGTTTAAAATGAATTGTGAAATTAATGTTTTATCTGTTAATATGTAAAAAGTGATCTTTCATATATGATATAAGTATGCATAAATATGTACTGGGAAAATCCCCAGCAGAAATAATTCAATTGATATGGATTTTATGGAGCCAAGCCCATCTGACTAATAACAATGTAATTAAAAATCAGTGATGATAGGATTATGTCTCTATCTTTGTCTGGGAATTTGTGTCAGAAAAAAGGAATATATTTACATAAAATTCTCCAGAGAACTTTCTACATGTCTACATGAGTATAAGATTCAAATTCTTGGTAATATTTGCTCTGGACAATATAAAACCTCTTGACCAAAAGAATTCAAGTGTATGACCAATGTCTGAAATGTCTATGTAAAAAATGTAAAAAAAAAATGTGTAGGTGGATCTAAAAGTAGTGTTTGTAATAGCTTAAAACCTTCTAATTGATAGAAAGGTTTTTTTTAGATTTATTTTATATAACTTACTATTTGATTTATTAAAGCCATATATGGCGTATGTACAATGAAAATTATTAGAGAGACAGAGACTTCAGGTTTAAGTTGTTGATTTATAGTTTTTGCCAAATGGAGAAATTTCTTGGACATCTGAACAGTGTACGGCACATTCATCGTGTATTCCTGGATAAGATTTAAAAATGGAGAGTATGGGCGGGGATATGCGAGATCAAAGATGAAGTATACGGCAAAAAGGGCGATAACAGAATCCAAAAAGGTCTCGACCTGTGTAAAAATTTCAGTTTCATCCCAAACGATTGAAAATTTTCCTAGTTATCCTCTATCCAAAAACACCAATAGTCTTGGTGACTCCAACTCTTTTGTCTGGGATATTATCTCTTTTTCCGTATCAGAAAGATCCTATAAGAAAAAATTGAGAATTTTCAATACTCGCTTTGCTGTAAGCTTAAAGATATATCGGGTTCAGAAAATGAAATCGGGCTCGTTATTTGTTAATTTCCCACCAGGAAGTCATCGTTACAATCGGCAATCCTCGACTGACTCCATTGTGCATGGTACAAGCCATTCGAAGAGCTCCGAGTATCATCGCAGACGTCAATGTTGAAAGCCAGACTAAAGCAAAAATCTCAAGGTTTGTATTTATTTATGCTTTTCAAGGTTTTTAATAAAATCAGTTGAATTCTAAAAAAAAACACTCACTAAAAGTATGACGTAAACGTTAAATATTTCATGTGTATTGTATGTTTTAACCTTTTGAAATTTGTGTAGAAGTGTCGGGGATGGGGATCCTAAACAGTAAGTCTAGAGATTGAGGAGTTATGTGCAATTTATTTTGACCTGATCAGATACATGTTGACATTGATGGCGAAGGTAGAAGTTTACATTTACCAATTTGAATGTGTTTGAGCTCATATTCGTCTGAGAACGTATAGTTAATGGTTTGAGAAATTAGGCTTTTCCAAATTTTTAGAGGAGAGTTTATTTATCACCTCCTTTTGTATTTATTGAATATTCAAGTGTTGCTTCATCATTTGATCGTCGGTCCATTCGACTGATAGTCCAATAGTCGATTAGTCGTTGACATCCCTAGTTTTTACTGATTATTTTTTCTTCAATATCTTCACCTGTGAATGTTTGATTTTCTATGATTTTTAAATAATATGAGTTCGTTTGACAGCATGCCATCTCTTCCACAGCGCCCCATTTGCTGCACAAAAGTGTCCATTTCTCTAGGTAATCCATAATGAATGATATTATGCAGGTCGAAAAAGTTAACACCCATACAAGCTGAATTTGTGCAGATAAGAATTCTAATCTTCCCATCCACAGCCATGTCAGTTCTTATGTTTTTCTTCATCTTTTCATTAGTTTTACTATGATACATGTTTATCAATTCACATTTTGCACCAAATATTTTAACAAAAGCAACATACAGTTTTGAAACATCAGATATTGACTCACAAAAAATAACATGACGTGGCATCTTTTCTTTTAGTGTTGTCAAGTCAGAAATTAACCATGCAAACACATTCTCAACTTGGTCATTATTGGGAATACATCTTGATGATATTTTTATATTTAATCTGTCAGGGGATTCAACAACAATTTCTGCATTGGAAGAAAAGCACAGCTGTTTCATGATTTTTCTTCTGTTGGTTGGCCCCGCTGTTGCTGTAAGTGCCACCATTTGAGTGTTTGAACACAGTGAACGAAGTTCTCCGATTCTTGAAAACCATTAGGTTCTGTTTTCCTGTCCTGAGATTCACCACTAAGAAATAACATATAAACTTAAGTTCCAGTAAGTAATCTTTATGCTGAACCTAGGCAGCAAGGAATCCATCTCTGAAAATTAATTATCATTCAATACAGGCCCAATAGATTTCATTTTTAAATATATATTCTGATTACAATATAATTTGTTTCAACCTCAGCTCCCTTATTTTAAATCACTTACCATTGAATAACTGTGTGTGCTTCATCAACAACAATAGCTCTTAACTTTCGCTGGTAGACGTCAGATTTCAGAACATCACACCATTTAAGGTCTCCAACCAGCTGTTCCGGACTAGCGAAAATAAAATCATATTCCCCATTTATTAGATCGCTATTTTCACTTGAGTCTTTTCCTATGTAAGAGGCTTTGAAACCCAGAGCTGTCAATTTTTTGCACTGTTCAGACATGATGAAAATCAGCGGCGTTATTATTACGACGCATACGTCTGGAAAAAGTACTGGAATGCATTCATAAGTCAGAGATTTTCCACTTCCTGTTTTGGTACCGACAAAAACATCTTTTCTGTCCATTACACCCTTCACAGCCTTCTTTTGATTCGGTCGGAGCGAGGGAATATTAAATCTTTTGCAAATATCATCTTCGATGTTATTTTCCATGGGTGCAGCCATGTTTGATGAAAATTGCTCTGTTACGCAAACTCTGATTGGCTGAAGTTGACGTGAGCTAAATACAACTTCCAATAGGGGGTGCTCATCTGGGTTTACAAAATCTTACTCAATCTGCCAAGGGTCAAAAGAGGAGAGGAGCGGATCGTCACCCTTGGCTAGCGAAGATGCACCTGCTGTGACACGTGGCCTCGGTTAATACGGTCTCATGCGAAGGACCGTCCCATTTTAGTCGCCTTTTACGACAAGCAAGGGGGTACTGAGGACCTATTCTAACCCGGATCCCCATGGGGTCTGCAAATGTCTTTTCAACGCATTTCGTTGGATGTCGCTGCGCCATAGAGAGATTTTGAAAAGCTATAAGCATTTACTTTTTGATTATAAGATAAGAATGCTAATTATGTTGTTTAAGGTAAGCGGGGAAATATAACAAAAAAGTGGCGCTTTGGGCCGCCATAAAACGTAAAAGGTTAAGGTGACATTCCTTTATGGTCTTCAAATATAAACTTTCAGAATTGGAGTCAGGCCTTAAAACTAAGAAGAATATAGTTGCTATAGATATTTGTAAGATTAAGGGTAAAAATAATTGACGTTTTACACTACTTGAGTTAAAACTGACTGCTAGTCATTTTCCCCCTCCGAATATTGCTTCCTTGCAGCAAACAGCTTTCCGTTTAAATGTGTTGTCCTTTATATGCGTACCATTTTCCCTTCCGAGATCAACTTTGCTTGGAGGGGAATCTGTGTGGCCTCTTTGTGTAATTCTACCAGCAACATGTAGAAGGGAATAAAGCTTGTTTGACCATCTCTGCTGTTGTGCCATCCCTCTACATTATTGTTGGTGCGAATGGCGAGCGTGAACACACTCCAGTTCCGGACAGGAAAGTTGGGTTATTCAGCCACTGGCGCCACATGTATTCCATGAGGGAAACGAGCATGCCTGGACTGTGTGGTCCGATGGTATGAAAGGGAGAACCAGCACTTGACGAAGAAACTCTTGCACATCACCTCTTGTGTTGTAAGCTCTATATAAAGATTATTCTCTTTTTTTTCAAAGGTGGCACCTGGAACTTCCGATGTGTTGTCGATATCATCCTCATCATCTGTTAATGGAACCTCTTGAGTTGTCGGTACAACATTCGCAAGTCTAATCAAATGATCCTGGCCGTGCACTTATCTTCTGTACACAGCTATAGTTATCCCTGAAAATTTATTATATTTTGATTAGACTTTACGGTATATTAGATTTTGAATTTTCAATTGATAAAACTTGAGGGTGGTGTAAGTCGAAAGTAAATTGGTGAAGAATGATTTGGCAGTGGTAAAGGTGAAGGTGTTTGACGGATGATGGTGCGTCGTCTTCTCTTACACAGATGCGCGGAGGTAAAGGTCAGGACAATATCATATGGCACAGGAAACAGTTACTGAATAGATATATAGACACAAAAAAATAAAGTCTGTTTAGTTGACAGGGTTCAAGATATACCTCCATGGTTAGTGACAGAAATGCAGAAGATGCATTCTACAATCCACTTCCTTAATGCCAAATTCACAAGGCTCAGTTTGAACATTTTCTTATACTTAAACCAGCTAATGCTATCGCTCTCTGACTAATATCAAAGTGATGCTTTTTTTCTTAGGACGTTTTAACATATAGTCAACCATGGGTATGAAAATAAGTGAAGACAATTAATTTTGATGATGAGTATCAACATTTGCATAAAAAATTACCAATAAGTGAGGTAGTAATGGGTCCAGCAGGTGTATTAGGGGCTCTCAGGGGTGCTTATATCCTTCACCTCAGTGTTGGACGGGGTGGAGAGGGGGCCCGAGGGACCCTCAGAGGTGATCATTACCTAACATAGGCATTATGACATAAAAGATGTGACCAAAAGAATGAAGCTTGTATCCATTGTCAGACTTCATATTCCGTAATCGTTCTACATACCAACCACAGTAGTTTGGTATAAAAGACGACACGTCAAAGACATCTATAGTGGGAATAATGGCGTGATTCGGAGTCCAAGCGATGCTATCAGCATAATATGGGTGTTGATATGTTTTTTCCACGGACTGTTCTTCTCAGGGGGCCTAAATATCACCATCATTGGGACCGATATCTGTCAAATTTATCGCCTCTGCTACCTCGCATAAATCAACCAAATCTTGCCTATTTCTATTAGAAAACGGAATGCCTAAATCAACCAAATATTGCCTATTTCTATTAGAAAACGGAATACCTTTCGATTACAATATATTCTTTGGATCGGTGCACTGTAAACGCTGATTATTTACAGAGTTCGGGGCCACCACAGCCAAATTGTGTCCCAGAGGACACGACTCAACGCACCTTTAAACTGAAGACGGAAATGTTTAGTATTTCGTTAACTTTGGAGACCAGTTATTCCAACAATCTATTGGAATTCCCATGGGTACAAACTGCGCTCTGTTATTAGCAGACTTATTTTTATATTCATATGAAGCAGAATTAATGCAGAATCTTTTACGTGAAAAGGAGAAAACACTTGCTGTGGCCTTCAACTCGACATTTAGATATATCGACGACGTATTGTCAATTAAAAATGATAATTTCCATTCCTACGTCGACATGATATATCCTGCTGAGCTTGAGATAAAAGATACCACAGAGTCCGACACTTCTGCTTCATACTTGGATATTTTACTTGAAAAAGACACTTATGGTAATCTAACAACCAAGCTATATGATAAACGTGATGACTTTAACTTTTCTATCGTCAACTTCCCTTACTTATGCAGCAATATACATGTACCTTCATCACCTGCATACGGAGTATTTATATTTCAGTTGATTCGATACACAAGAGCATGCTCTATGTATGAACAATTTCTTAAACGAGGTAAATTATTGACAAGCAAGTTGATGAAACAAGAATATCAACAGTCTCGTTTAAAGTTATCATTTCGTAAATTCTATGGTCGATACAATGACCTTGTCAGCAAATACAATTTATCATTGAATGAAATGCTGACTGACGTTTTTCATACCAATTGTTAGTCCATTATTTATACACTGAATTGACCACGGATTTTTCCCGTTATTTCATGATTATGACAACGAGCACACGGCTGGTGTGACCGGTCGGCAGGGGATGCTCACTCCTCCATGGCACCTGATCCCACCTCTGATGTTTCGGAGGTCCGTGTTTGCTCTGCTCTTATTTTGTATATTTGTTTAATGGACGTTGAGATTGAATACTGTTCGTTATTTCCATATCCTTCTTTCATGCGACGTTATTCTTGTCTTGATGTTCTGACTCAATTGGCCAATGAACTACTAGTGTATGTTTTTCTTCAACCACAGGTTGTAAGATGTCTTTAACACTTTTCATTATGCTAAATTCCTTTTAAAGTATTGATGTAGGACTCTTTACGTTCTGTTAATTAAATACATTACCTGTTTACTCTCTGTTGTCGGATATTTAAGGTGATTTTCTTTCTGTGGTATGCGGTAATACTTTCCAAGCCCATTCATTTATCACTGCATTTATCAACTTTTGCCTTTTAATTGTATTCCTACTAATGTTATTTCTTCTCCAGTTTCCAAACAGATCAAAAAGAATCAGAGTCATCAGACAACACCCATCATTCCTTCAGATTATTCATCTCAAAGTTCTTCAGATGAGAGCGATAGAGGAGTTTACATCATACCACAGAGATGTTGTCGACAAAACCCTCAGCAGTCTTCTCCTCGACAGTCAACTATGAACCAATCCTCTCCTCGACAGTCAAATATGAACCATTCGTCTCTTTGACAGTCATCGAACCATTCTTCTTTACATGAATCTACTATACCATCTTCTTTTTCAAGATCTTCAATTTCAGCGAGTTCTCCAAGTATTAGTACTCCACCTCCAAGAAGATCACCAAGAGTCAGTAAACCGCCAGAGAGATATGGGGAGTGGCAGTATGTACCGGATGTCAGCCAGAAATGTGTTTAGGGACATTAGTATAGAGCCAGCAGAGATGTGATTAGTTAAAGACACTTGCTTAATTTGTCCTTGTGTCAGTGTGTTTTTCGTTGTAGAGTTTTTTTTATGAAGTTATACTTCTAATCATTTTTTACTATGTATATAATTACAGGTATGACATGTTTTATATGATAACAACAATGAAGTCGATTCTTCATCAGTATTACAACTGATGAACGATAACTTGTATTTTTTTTAAGACCACTTGACCCATGCCCTGGTACCCTTGGATAGGTTATAAGGTAATGTCAGGAGCCATTTACTCCTAGCAGGGGGAATATGTAGCCAGGATGTTGGATCCACCTATTGGTATTAGTGGTTAGTCTATTGTTTGTCTGTCTTTATTGTCATTCGCTGTCTGTCAGGTGATCTAGTAGGATAGAGAGAAAGGGGTGTATGAGAGAGAGAGTGAGTTGTATTCATTATCAAAACCTGTTTTTACTACCTGTCCGCCCATACCCATGCACACCGTCAAGGTAGCAGCACGCAAATAATGTATAGCATATAGGGTGATGTAGACTGGTAAACTTTTATATATATTTTCATAATTTGCAGTTATATACTTATTGAATTAATTTAAATGTAAAGCTGGTGTAAAGTACGGATATTTACAGTTAGCGAATTGAATGTAAAGTATGAATGTTTAGTATTTTGTATGAATGTGGTAGGTTTTATTATCCATATATAAATATCAAAAACCCAAGACTAATATTCTGATCTCTACCGACGGGTTACATTTTGAATTCAAAATACCCGAACATCCACATACACCATCAGGTAAGGGTACAAGTGCTTCTTATAAAGAACTGAATGTAGAATTATGCAAATCGAACGCAAACATGCTAGGATTTCGAGTCAAAACTCACCAAAGATAGTTATACTGGATCAAAGCCATAGGTTACATGTATAGATATTATCTTACTGCTGGAGAAGCTTTTAGCTTTGTTTGCGAATGGGTAGATAAAACGAACGAAAACAATGAAGTATTTGTACAGCTGAAAAAAGGGAACAACAAATATGCAGACTATGAGTATGACACCGAATCTGACGTGAAACTCATAACAATTCACATTTACCCAAATACTCATTCAATGACTGTTCAGGGACAACAGTACATGTGATTGGCCGATAATGAATTCCAATACTTGAAGAAC